CTTCTTGGCCTCAGCAGTCTTGGGTTTGATACCCTTTTTAGCTGCGAACTTTTGCCAGGTGGTTTGGGCGACTGGAGGAGGGAGAGGCTGGAGATGTGTTAGTATGTATTCACTGTTAATTGGGACTCCAAATTGGAATCTCCAAATCGCGAGAATGCAAAAAGGAAGAAAAAATCGAAATCGCATAATTACCTTTTCACGAGGCAGCTTGGTAGCAATCCCAGGTAAGCTCAGTAATACACCATTGGGCGTCGATGCGATGGGACAGGTGCTCAACAATTGGTTCAATAGTGCTTGCGCGCCATCTCTAGCGGTCGCAGCTAGATCATCTTCGAGATTTGCGGAGGTGGTGAGGAGAAGCGGATTGGGGTCTTCGGCGAGGAGGAGACCGAGATCGAATGTGTAGGGAGTGGGTTTGTTCACTATGATGGGGAGTTTGGATGGTTTCTGGGGGGCGTCTTCGGACATGTTGGATGTGAGGTTGATAAATTAATTGAATGGGTGAAGATTGGGTTTATTTTTCATAGAGGAGGAGAAATTGAGATTGAGATACCAGAGGAAATAAAATAAATTTTGGGCTGCTGCTTTTGCGGGAGGATCCTTGTGCGGCCGCAATTTAGCGCGGGATGTGTTTGATCCTAGTCGAGAAAGATTTCTGGAGCGAGAGAGAGGGACGACACGTCGAGAGGAATTGGACCCTTTGAAACTTACTGCAGCAATCGCAGATATGGCATCCTCGGGATGTTGGAAATGCCTCTCGAGGCCGAATACTTCGCAATTAATCCAGGGTAATCATGCGGCATTGCGACTTCCAACAATTGCAGCCACGGCGGGATTTTCAACAAGTGCGGTTATGTCCAAGAATCCGCTGGCTGCTAAACCAAAGGGCGCGTTTGGACAAAATATGGCGAGGGGTGGAAAGACTCTGAAGATCAAGAAGAAGCCGCCGCCTGTACGGACTGGAAAACCTCCCGCGGAAGGAGAGAGAAAGGCGTTGAGGAAGAGAATCGTACTCAGTAATACGAATGCGTTGGAAGTCGAACTGGAAGATTTAGGAATGAGCAATGTTACCAGTGAGGGATTGGTAGGAAAGGTGGTGGGATTGAGTGGGAGCACGGTGGATAGCTTAAGAGCGAGTGAAGCGTTCAAGATTACGCAGGGATGGAATTTATTTAGGAGGCCAGCGGTCTTGGTTCGGGAGGAAAGTGTTATTTGTGCGAAGGCTTTAGAAGAGGCGGGAGCAGAGAAGAAGACGGAGCGATTGGTGGTTGATGGAGGGAGGGTATCAGGGAAGAGTTTGATGCTTTTACATGCTATGGCTTCGGCTTTTGTTAAGGGCTGGATCGTCCTGAATATCGCGGATAGTATGTTATTTTATTTTCAAGGATTGCATTATGCTAATAAGATTTATAGCCCAAGAACTTGTCAACGCTTGCACTGAATATTCACCTGTGCCCGATACCACGCCCACTCTCTTTTCCCAAAACACATACACCGCCGCGTGGCTGGGACGTATTGGCAAAGCCAACGAAGCAGTTCTTGACAAGCTCCAATTGTCACAAAAACATAGTCTTCCAATTCCTCTCCAAGAAAACTTATCTCTCCTCAGACTTTGCGAACTTGGAGCTCAGGAACCAGAGCACTCTTGGCCAATATTCCAAGCATTCTGGAAAGAAATTACAGCTGCAGAACGACCTCCAGTTCTCATGACATTAGACGGTCTTCAATGGATCATGCAAAACAGTCTTTACCGAAATGCTGCATTCGAATTGATTCATGCCCACGATTTGGCTGTTGTAAACCATTTTGTGCAATATCTCTCTGGAGAGAAGTCCCTACCAAATGGAGGTGCAGTAATTGCAGCTACATCACGTAGTCACGCGCCTGTATCGAGATCCACGAATCTAGCTATCGTGCAACAACTCAATCGACAATCGGAAGAAGAAATCACAGAACGTGATCCCTATGAGAAGAAGTACGATGAGAGAGCCGATAAAGCATTGCAGAAGGTACAGGTCATGTGGTTAAATGGATTGAGTAAGCGAGAAGCGAGAAGTTTGATGGAATACTGGGCGCAGAGTGGAGTTTTGAGACAGAGAGTGGATGAGAAGACTGTGGCGGAGAAATGGGCGCTGGCTGGAAATGGAATGGTCGGTGAGTTGGAGAGGGGCGCGCTGAGGATGAGAATTTAGATGTTTATTTATTGGGCATGAATGAATAAAGTTTTAAATATGTATTATGTGTACAATTATGAGGCTTGGTCATATGGCTTATGTGGATAGATACGATATGGATCAGTGGTGTACTTGTACAGTGGAACAGTATGGTTGTTGCTCCAGACGCAGTGTTTACGTCGTTACTTGTTTTAGTAGTCCTTTGATGTTGATTTTCTGCGTGTAGGTAAGGCTAGCTCCGACACTCATACAAGTAGAACTGATTCAGGAGAAAACCATGGGACCTTTACGTATGCAAATTTCAAAGATATGTATATATATACCTAATCTAAATCCTCGCACTCTCACAAACATCATCTTCATATCATAACCCCTGATTTGGCAGCATTCACGTGTTATTAACACACTTTCTCCTTTACGAACCTATATTGCAAAATTAGTTTTCCCGAAGCCATTAGTAGGCATCTGATAGTGGTTCGTTCTTTGGCTGTCAGTTGTTAAGTGATAGACGGGAGTTCTCCTTATGCTAGTTAGTTATCCTATTGCTGAAGGTCGCGAAATGGATTCTTGGGGGTTGAATAGTTTCTGGGGGGGTTATTGGATTCGCGTTATCTAGTTTGATAATGGATTATTTGGGGGGTGAGAATGGATCTTTGGGGTTTGTAATGGATCTCTGGGGTTTGTAGTTGTTGAAAATGTCTGTTATGTTTACTAATATGTAGGAGTGAGTATAAAGATAAATCCGTTCGTCTGCACAACATTTCCCACAGACTTTAGGCTCACCGTAGCTTTTTGTTATCTCTCATTGGGTTTCTCCTATGCACTACTCTGTTGATCACAGGAGACCAAAGTTCAATAAAGCGTCTATTTTATGCCAATATACTGGTCTGGTCAAAGGACTCAATTTGCGTGATCATCTCACTCCCCCCGATCTCAAAATCACATATATTTCTCCCAAGAAACCCACCGACATCTGCCAAACTGGTCTCCATAATTTCCATTCTAGTAGGTAGTACGCAAACTCTCCATCTTGCCCGTCTCGATTTCCAGAATCCGATTCATGTGCATTTTCACAGGCTCGGTGTATGTATATTTCGCCGCCGCCGTAGCACTATCCGAGGATAGTGAGCCCAATTGTCTGATATTCGTATTCTCGGTCGCTAACAAAGCACGCGAAGAAGAGATATGGTCTAGCCAGTGATCAATAATGAGAAGGATGGGAATCTGCGAATTCATAGATTAAGTGGAGTGCCAAACTTTATTTCTACCGGGAATTACAAAGACTGCTTGGGTGCGCATTACTCCTATATTATGTGAAAATTTTCAACTGCCGTCTCCCCAGAACTAGATTTTTGGGTTGGGTATCATAAATGTAATACGTGTGAAAGTTTTGGATCAAGGCCCTTTTCCCACTGGGTGAACATCCTAGCACGAGTATATTCGCGGAATCGATGAAGACGCTAGCGGTTTGCAAAAGTACAAGCGCATTTAGGATAGATTTTGTGTCTCAGGTCTAGACAATCATTACACCTGCTGAATGGGTTGAGCTGTAAGCGATATAAAAAGTCCCTCCCGCGACTTGATTTATTGAATTTATTGGAATATTATCGTCTCTCTGTTTATACATCGTTCTCGTCGGAACCAGAGTACAAACGTAAGATGGATACAAGACTGTAAAGTCTCTGTATAGAAACAAAGCCTTTTATCCGCAGATCAGTGGTGTGTTTCTATCTCAGCTCTTTCTTGGGAGTATGATGGAGGCCACATGCACAGATGTGGCTCGTTTGCGCAGCTGCCAAGGAAATTAGAGAGACGAGTATGGATGGCTCTTCAACTCTCGTGTGCAGAATCCAACGTCTTTAAAAGACAGTTAATGTGACATTTCAATAAGGAGATCTGAAATAAGAAATGAGGGGTGAGAAAGCTATTCCCTCAATCCTCATACAGGAAGCCCGAGAGCTACTAGGCTCGGCAATTCTTGGCATAATCAGCGAGACACGAAAAGTCTCGTGAAGAACATCTTGGTAGAGATCAGAACTCCCAGAGAAGGAATTCGATGTGTGGCCAAATATCCAATGTAGTACTCAACCATCAAGTGACTGATAACTCTTGCGTTATGGCTGGGCAAAACATACGTGCTACACCCCCCAAGCATCAGCATCCCGCACACCACTCATCAAATTCCTAAATATAACCGCTTTAGCTCTCCAACCCTACCATTTGCCCAACTTTGATTCAACTGGAACTCCAAGAGTAAGATAATTACATAACATCATGGTATGCAACCCAAGCTATGCCATGCGTCTTGGCATTACCCTGCATGTGAATTCAGGCTGAAAAATGTGCCGGATTATCCGTCTTATGCGCGACTGTTTGGTTCACAGGAGGGGCTAAGAAGATGATATCCGAACCCCCGTTGCGAAGGTGATGGAGATTTGATGTACTGTGGTTGCGTACATCGGCTATCCTCGGGGGAGGTGAAGGGTGAGAAAGTACTGGTGAGAGGGAAATGTAATTGTCGTGAATTCGGTTCGAGCGGGGTTAATCAAATCGCCAAGCTAATGTCAACGACAGCAAAAACATATGATGTAGAAACTGCTCAAAAACTATAACGTGTAATATCGCGTCATGTTTGGTATTTGATAGCTCATGGCCGAGATTTTAATGACGAATCAGTTTGATACTGTGAAGCGCTTGCAATGTGTGGGGAAAAAAGGATGTGACGCCAACGTACCACCCAGCCTGCCGGAACAATAACTAGTAATGGAAGCAGATAAAACTTGGTAACATGGAACGTAAGACTGGATAATCAAGGCGCGTAGAATCACATAGAACGAGCCAAGGTTAATTGGTACACGAAGACATAAGAAAGGATTTTCAATCAAGCAGTCAATGTTGTAATGCACCAAAACGAATATTTGTAACGCTTGAAAGGATATTCTCATTCTTTAGACTGCACTAGCTAAAGCATATAACATTTAAACTAATCATATATTAGCAAAAGTCTTTGAAGGGCTCCAATGACTTAGATACATACCATAAACAAATCGTCCGTTGTGGTTCTCAATACGCTCAGCAAGGTTGACATCACGGCTGAACTCTTCGCCATCGATGCTGCGGAGGAAAGTGCGGAGAACTGGGACTTGTCCACCACCCTCAATGGAGAATGTGACGTTCTCAGCGCTGTGAGAGAAGTCTATATGAAGCATTAGAGAATGACAACTGAAGGATAAAGATGATTTCTTTTCAAAGATTATACGTACTCTCGCCATCCCAGTGAATCATGCCATCTTGGTTTCCGATGTATTGGTTGAGATCAATCTCAGCATCTTCCCAGTCACCGTTCTCGTTTCTGAGACGGGCTCTGAGGATGTGGTTGTCATCGATGCGGATATCTTCGGCGGAGAGGTGGAAAGACATTTTGAGTTATATAGAAGAGGTTTGTTTTTGTTTTGTGAAGAGTGTTTGGAAAGTGGTTGAGAGTTGAGAGATATGGAATGAGAAGTGAACGGGAGGAGAGGAGCAGATATATATGTGTCTTTTGTAGTCCGATCTTCGACTATGGTAACGCCTCAGGGTCTACCCCTCCGTGCATGCTTGCGGCAATGCAAAACCATCATCAGCCACTCATCGACGCATTTATGGAAACCCCCGCTGATATGCTAAGTGAATTTCACACATATGGTGGCATTTCAATGGCTTGGCACCTCCTTGGCTCACACGTTTTCCACAAACATTGGATCAGAAGCTTCACCGTATGTGGCATGACCCGCTATGACCCACTTGATGTGGGGTAGGGTTTCGAAATGTCACCACTGCGGCGGATTCGGTGGCTATGAGTGATATGCATTACAGAATTCTAAGTCATAATGATGGAATACGATGGACAGACCCACACTAGCTTGTAGCTACCCTGGTCACAAAGTGGTTGTACCTGGATAGCCAACCAGTTTCGAAGAAGATTAAGAAGGACTTCGTGAGACCATGGAAGCTCTCAGAAACCATTGGCGTTAATGACTGACTGAACGAGGGTATCTCCTCAAGAATCAAGTAGTGTTGCATCACTCAGGGGTAATTTTACCGCTTGTGTGTCTGCACCTGTAGCAGAAAGAGCGCAAAGATAGCTTATGCCATCGATCCTTCAAACGTCTCACATTGCTCAAGGAAGTGGCACAGTCAAGCCACGTAATTCCTTGATGGATGGTCTCGTGTAACATGCTTCACACTCCGTACAGAATGCTCACTTGAGCTGTCACTCTGGGTCAGTAGCAATCTCAAACCATCTCAGTATGATTGCTCCAGAGTACACAATAACAACCCGCAGTTTAAAGTTCACAGCAACAGCGCATCGTTACTGAGTTACCTACTCATGTTTCAACAAAACTTGCACCTTAACATAGATATGTGCTCATCGCTGGTAGGATACCACGACTGTGTTCATTACCCCACTTCACCCCACCAGTGTATATTAATCATGTCGGAGAGGGGCACATGAGGTATACAATGTACGGACATGTACTTTGGCGACGCTGAATGATTCGATGAAGTCGGTGAGGAAAAGGGGTCGAATCTGTAGCCGTCGACTCATTTCGATGCATTGTAGAATCGCTCTATCATCGAATCGAGCATCGAATCGAGTAGACAGGTATTAGTACCACGGTTGAACGCAGCATGACCTTTGGATATCTAGTGGCCGAATACGTGCATTGTTGATCGATAAAATGTACGAGAACGGTCTGCACAGAACGGCAGATGTTAAGTCCAAGTCTTTGGCGTTTTCTTCGAATAGGGCTGTGGACGAAAGTTTCACGAAGTCAGTTTGCTGACTAAGCGAGCAGCACTTTCATTTCCCTCAAACATCACTTATTATATCACTCACAGCGCATTGATGGGACCGGCGGTCAATCAGGAATCCAGTGTATCACCCTAAATTTGCAGCACATTGCGAGAAGATCTATTTCATCATTACGTTCAAGCGGAAACCATGGTGGTCATGATGAGCCTCAAAACTATTCACAAACAGCTTCTGAATTCCTCATTAACGATGGCGGACGAGAGCGGCAACGGAAATGTCAAGAGCCTCTACTTGAACGTAGGTAGATTAGACAGGTTGCTCTGCTATCGAGCTATCATAATCAGGCAATATATGCCCCCGGTTGTGGCACCGGTGTATCAAACCACCAGGCTGCAGTCCACAGCGAGAGAATTGTGAAGAGAGAAGCCCTCTTGTATGTTGAATTTCTCTGGTCACTGGTTCTTCTTAGAACCATAAGAATATCAGAATGATTGAAAAATATCAAAGATTCAAGCTTAAGACAACGAATCCGAACATCAGTCCAAGTTACTGGGCACACCGCGTAGCGTATGCTACGTCAAAGCTCGACATCGGCGAGGGCATTCGCCCGGAGAGAATTCCTCTGCGCCTGCGCTGTTTTGGAAGACTCCCATCCCAAATGCTTGGATCTTACCCAATCGTTATTTCCTCTAAAACGATGTGCTGATTGTATGGAAACACATAAAGTAATGACAACGAAGCTAAATAACACGATTCTCCAGATGGACGGTGAGATTGTGAATGATTTCACAGGATCTATACAGTTAGAAAAATCAATTCGGAGATTAAGATATAAATGCTCGTTTGGACTATAGGTCAACTGCAGATGTTCAGAGGATCAAGTGAAGCCACTGGGAAGATCAGAGAACATATCGTCAAGTTACGAATTTGTGATTTGCCTTCACAAATTACCTGCCGTTTTTTCACGGACTTGATAAGGATAGTGATTATAAATCTCTAGATCTTTACCAAAAATCATCTCGCTCGATGATAAGAAATCAGAAGCCATGCTTACCTAGTATGCATGTCCTGGGCCCCATCAAATACCGTCGTCTTCTTTCGTATTTTACGTCGGTAGTATATTGTTGGTAAAGATCACAGACTTCAAAGTATCATCCGGTACTAGATTAACATTATAGCAATCTTGATCTTCAATGTCTAGAATTGCATTGCTCACTATGTAATCGTGTCTGGACTCGACGGAACTTCCACTGTGTAATGTGTGAAATTGGGTCAAGTAATATCAGATACCATCTGACGTAAAGACATCTCAGTCTAGAATGGCCGGAAACTCTCATAATATTCCAAAGTGATTGAAGACATCTTGCCTAACCATGCATTGGAATCACGAAAATTCAACTCGACTTATTAGTTTGATTTGCGTAGAAAAGACGCGGACAGCCAAGCCATACTCATTGTTCCGCATACCCAAACATGAACGAAAGTAATCGGTACCAAAATCCGGATTATATACACGTGATGAGACGACGTGCTAAGGCCCTGAGTTCCTTCCTCATTTTGAAATTCAGATGGGAAGCTTAGCGGTGCGGGATTCCCCATCTTTGATTCGCTCCAATGACTTTCCTTCTCTAACTTGTCCGATTTCTGCAATCATTCACCGAAAGAGCATCAGGGAAGTTTATTTCACAATTCGTGCCCTCTCTTTACCTATCTCTTCCTCTTGTTTTCTTCTATCAATACTACAAACTGCGATTATATCGACATTCTTTCACTTCCCTTCAACTCTTGAGGTAAGTTCTTTAGATACGCTCCTAATAACCTTCCTTTGAGAAGGAAGCCCTTAAACTCCTCCAAATTCACTTCACTGTTCGAAGCGAAAGTCCCCCTCGATGCCGCCTTAATTAAATCTTTCAAAAGCTTCTTTGGTTCTTACAACAATCAGGTCGCAAGTTTCATATGTACAAATTCTCTGGTTCAGTATACTGACTCTTTATTGAAAGTGAACCTCTTGAGGACTTATAAGATATTCCATGGGTTCTTGAGAATCTGCCACGACCCCTTTGTTGACAACCATCTTTACATGCCAGCCAATTTGGCATAACTGGGAGACTAAAACCAGACATCTATCCACAACGGTTTGTGTTTCTTCAACTATCCATGTTACTACTCTATCGGGTTGCGACTGCCGGCCACTTTTCCAGAATATACGAATGAATTCCGTGGCTTATCAACGGAACGGGCGCAATATTCCAGATGACCTTCTCTTTACGCTTTACTCACAGTTGTGAAAGGACTCGAACTCGAATTAAAGTGCCTGCCAGTCAAAAGTAATGCTAATCGTTTCCAAGATGCCCCCAAATCGCGGAATAAAAGAGGCCTCGCAAGGCTCGGTACTAGAGAAGGCGGTCGAAAAGATGTGTCAGGAACTCGACAGAATTTTCGAGGCAGAAGGCAGTGAAGGGTGAGATAGGTTTGCAGTATCGATACATCTATAGCAATGCTAAAAATTACAGAATCGCCGATGAACTCTGGAATCAATCTACGATGCTCTGCACACGGCGAAGGCAACGGAAGCCATAACTGAGACAGCTGTGAGAAGTCTTCTTTCAATATTGGAGAATGATCGCGGCGAGTTGTGCTGTCCTTTCGACGTGAAAGTTTTTTGTGTTGTACTTGAAAATTGCACTTAGAAGCGAGGAGTGTCGAGAAAGTGAGCGTGTTTCTCGTTTTGCTTGCTGTAGTACTCATACCACAAAGATAGCGATTTCTAGACACTGACTGAGTTTACAGAAGGAACTTCACACACAATCAATACCTCAGGAAACTGAGAGCTCCACGGTGTTTTGGTCGAGATCGCAAAGCAAGTGAACGTCGCTTCGCCTTATTGAATACTTTGTCGATAAATCGAAGCCAGACGGAATGAGAAGATGGGTAAGCTACCATATGCTGAAATATTGTGGGGATATGCTAACACATAAATAAGGTGGTATCATCATGCAGCAGCTCTTGAGAGGCCCGGAGGCAGTTTCTGAGCAATTTCAACATACACCCGAGGACGTCAGGTGAGAAATCCCACATATTACTATCCACAACTAGCTGATACGTTTCTGGAAAGACGCAGCATTGGTCCCATGATTATCAGTGAAGATAATGAAATCCTCAGATTGATTTGTGGTCGGGTTTTTGCGCTACTACTAAACGCTGATGTTCTGCCCGAAGAACTCTGCCCTGTAAAAACCGACGAAAGGGAATACGAGGATTTTCCAGTTGATTTGCAGAATTTAAATGAGTGGAAATCACAATTCCAGCAGTGGGTAGACCGGAAGTGGCCCGATAATGAAAGCCAAACGTAAGTACATCAAAGATTGCCGATTTTCTGCCAGCTGATGACTTTCCAGACCACCGCATATGCTTTATTACAGTCTTAGTGTTGTGACTATACCACCATTTCGATTGGGAACATTGGGTGAAAGTATAGAACTGGTTCTAGAAGACGGCTATATTCTTCTGCTGAAAAGCTCTACGGAACAAGAATTGGATCAAATACTACAAGTACCATGCAACTCTATCTCTCGAGTTTCTGTCATTGACAACTCTATTATTATCAACGAAAGAGAAGTTTACGATATCGTTTTTGACATCAAGAATGACCAAGCGCGTTCTTCTCATCTAAATTCCCGACCTACCACTCTTCAACAACTACGTTTGACCACAGATTCAAATAGGAACGAATTAATGATCGATCTTCACGATGAATGTCCCGAAGCAGAATTCCAACCGGAGAGGGTTCAAGTGTCTCAAGCTGAAGACGATATACTAGTGCAAGGAAAGGGAAGTTCGCCAGATGCCGAGAGTTACGAACGGCCTTCGGAAGACGAGCATCAACCAGCAACAGGTGATCCAATGACGTCCGAGTCCGAGGACGAAGCACTAGATACCCTGAATAACCTTGACTGTCAGGCTCAAGGCGAAGATTCTCGAAATCAAGCAGACGATAATATATCTTTGAACGTACTTGATAATTTGGACCACTCCCAACAAAAATCGAGCAGAGATTATGCAGCTAATAAAGTCAATTTACCTGAGAATAGTGGTGTTGCGAGCTTCAGCGACTCACCTACGATGCCTACACACCAAAAGAATATCCCATCATTCGACGAAGCTTTAGGAATAGCCGAAAGAAGTTCTGAAATAAGTGGTCGGATACTTCTTTTGAGGCAGGAAAGCAAATCTCGCTCTCAAATTTCTCAGCCTCTACCGATCACCGAGAGTCCACCCCAAAAGATTGCAGCCAATGACACCCTTACTGTCAAGACTAAAGGTAAAGTGTCTGCAAGTCTAAGTATCGGAAGAGAAGTACTCATACCAGAAGCACAACCAAGTACTTCTCAAGCACCCCAAATCAAAATACCAATTTTGAAAGCTAGTAAAGTATCAAAGAAATATGCTGTTAAACCCAAGACACCAATTGCGGGCGTGAAAGAGCTTAAAATGTGATACTCCTCTGCCAAATTTACCAGAGACAGCAATTTCGGCTTCTTTGCCAAACGAGAAGAGATCCGATGAAGGATCGCGCGAATTCCAGACAAAATATATGATCTGCCTGAGATCAACGAAGATGGCGGAAGTAGTAATCAAAGACGGACGGTCAAACTAACCAGGGGACAAGAAAAAGGCCTGGCAGTTCAAAACAAAAGGGCAAATCAAGTGGAAAAGGCAAGGGAAAGAACACAAAGACCTACCAAAAAGCCAAGCCCGCCCCAACGGCAGTCGAGGAACCTGTAGTCGCGAAGCGGAGTAGCCAAAGAGCGGCTGCTAGTCAGCCAAACTTAGCATGAGCAAAATCAACGACGACTTTGAGGAAATTGAAGATGATTTTTTCAGATGGGAGAGACAATGAACCAGCGCAGCCCAATGTCTCGCGAAAGCGTAAGACGGCGGAACAACCAGCTGAGCCAGCTTTTTCGGAGATCAAGTTTGCTTCAGTGCTAGAGTCGGCTGCAGAGGAAGATAAGGAAGCATTGGTTCTTCAGCAGCAGATGCCCAGGTACTAGTCTAGTTGATAACAGTCTCCCTCCTGGAGACTCATTCGCAGTTGATGATTTGTACTCTGCTAGTCCGCCGAGACAAAGGGTCAACAAGGTTACAATCAAGAAACCCCCACGAAACCTTCCCGAAAGACGGGCAGCTGTGAATTTCGCCAGCCAACTGGATGATCTCCTGAGCGATGATACTAAGGGTGAGAACCAGATCCCTCACATCAAAGGTTTGAACAAGAGTCTCTTCAAGAAAAACTTGTCCCCAATTACACACCACCAGAAAATTCAGGAAACCTTCAGCATATTACATCAGAAAGTAGATCGAGTATCATAACAAAGACTTGTCAGAAACCGTGGTCGAGGATGCCAAAGATAATAGTCGCGATGGCCCAGATGCAGATTCAGAGGAGCTACATTTAAAGGATGGAAATTTAAGCCAGCCAACTCAACGTGTTGAAGAAGTGGTGCGCGCAATTCCACGCGAGACGGAAGTCAAGAAAAGTCAAATGATCAAAAGACAGAGGATCTCGAAAAATGACAGACACTAAGCTTCATACTAGAGTAGGCGAGAAGATTATCACGAAGATGGACGAGTATGTACTCACCGCAGATATAATCGACCCAGTACTTTCAATTCCAAGCCACTCCTTAAGCATATCTTCGATTAACTCCAAGCAGGAAGCGATTCACGAACCAGTTGCTACAAAGGCTTCAGCTTCCACTGACCATCAAACTGAAAGTCTGCTAACTCTACAACTATCAGACGTCGATTTGGTCGAGGAAAAGAAGCGAAAGGTTGCAACAGAGATTGCTATACCACCCAAACGCCGTAGACAAATTGCGACAAATAACTCAGGAAGCCCTTCAATCTCATCATCTGGTCCCCGCGCACAAGGAAATGCATCTCCCGAAAGCCTGGCTAGCAAGAATAGAGTTCTACTTGATGATCGAAGTATTCGCAAGCCAAACTTCATACACTTTAATGCTAAAGGTGCACAAAATCAGGGCTTTTCTGGTACGTCAATACCTGTTCCGAAACGAGACCCTAAGTTACACATCAAAACATCGAACACTGCGAAAGTCAAGTTGCAAGACATGGTAAAGAGTAAACGAAGACATGATGATCATCATGACTCAGATGAAGAAAGTTTATTCGTTTCTCAAAGTCCCCCAGAAAGCGTCAGAGTGTTAGTCCGCCGAACGTAGCTTTGCCAACAGATACGCCGATCTTGGTAGATGGTACAACCAGTCCTACAATTCCCACAGCTCTTAAATCAAGCTCACAAGGATCTCGAGTGGATGCATTTGGTAGCCCACAAGCACAACACATTGTACCTTCCATTGGTCATGCTCTCCGAGTCGAGCAAAGAGAGGCAGTACCAGAGTCTGACAAGGCAGGGCCACGAACTATGGACTCTCATCAGGATTTACCTGAAATCAAAGTTCTATCTCCTGAATTGGACGCCAAGGATATTCCAGAGCTTTTTGGTCCGCGTATCAAGGTAGTAAGCATCCCAAAAGCACGTCCTGCTCCACCGGGAGAGTCTTCTGTTCGATACATCCCGCATACAAAAACTCAGAACGGATCTTATAAAGACATTTCAACCATGGAGAACATACAAGAGGTAAAAGTTCTGCCGGATCCATTCGTTGATGTCGACAATCACAAATCAAGTGGGTTTACAGAACGATTACGGGCACGTGAGGCTGATGGAGGCTTGAATGTTCGTTTCAGCGATCCTGACAAAACTCTAGTGGAGATGACAGAGCAAAGCTATAGTAGAGAGTCATCTTCACCGAGTGAATTGTCGAGTAATTCATCTTTCCGGTCGACTGGTTCCTCTAACATTCCAAGACAAGAATTATCTCCCCATAGTCAATGGTCAAAGGCTGTCAGACCACATTACAAGGGATATGCAGATACTGTTCATAAAATTGCCGATGTAAGTCTGACTGACTGTACGGCTCGAGATTGATAATTGGGGTAGCTGACACTGAGATTTAGGAGATGGTGATTAGATTGACTAATGAAGAAGATGCATCAGAGCTGGTTGTTCGTCAATACAAGGAGAACGCTACGAGTATGCTCGAGGATTTGAGTAGCAAGCGAGATCTGGAGAAGCTCAACATACGCCAACAAATCGAAAACAAGAAGACAGAATTGATTCGAATGTATTCTGAAGCTGGGAAAGCCGTGAAGCAAATCGAAAAGGATATAACAACTTCTCCCATAGGTGATGTTGATGGAACGTGGCAGGAGAGACAAGAGTTCATACAAAGAGAATTGAAGGGAGGGAGACGCACATCGGATTCATGATCCACATGACCATCGCTTGATTTGCTTTCTCATTCTATATTCGAGAACGCTAGGGAGTGGTGCGTAGATTTCAAATTAGGCTTTCGGTAGCTTTTCATCTTGTTTGTCTAACTAATGAGAGTAGTCTAAGAGCTGTGGGGACCGAAAGGTTGATGGATACCACATAATTGTTTACAGACCTCAGTACTAGCTTTGAATGATTTTTAAAATTGCTATGATAACAATGAATATGATTAAGACGTCGATAATCTGATGTGATCTATCGGTAGTACTCACGTGCTAGGACATGTATACGTTTTTGTTTACATGTATGGTAGTCATCCGGCCAACCCAATAAAAAATGACCCTGTCGATACATCTGGAAAAGGAACACTAACAAGGGATGACGATTGTTCATACCCCCACAACCGCAGCAGCCCAGATTCCAGAACATTTTACTCAATCAATACTTACAAAACTTACGACGACAATACAGAAATTTTCCACGTCGCAAGGTTCATTAAGAATTATCGGCTTCAGCTCTTACCTCTGTCTGTTTTTTCCATTGTTTTTTTTCAATTCTTGGCTAGCGATACACCTATCTATCCTCGAAGAATCCTACTTCCCCGCGTTCCGAAGCCCAAAAAGTCTTTTCGTCCTACAATAAAGGGCAACCATACGGCCACCTGCATTTTAGGTAAAAAATAAGAAAAGAAATCTTTCATACTCGAAAAGAAAAGAAGAGCTATGCCACAAGGAAGTGGTTTCCACCCATTTGGTGGCAGATTATCCAAGCATATGGGCAATTCGGTATGTATCAAGCACATGCGCACTTTGCTTGTCAATTGGTGACTCCGGCGGAAGGACAGTCGCAGCAATAAAGCAATTCGCAACTTGGAACTGACAAACACAATCATTGTAGCTTTCTCCTGAAGCTGCATATCTAAGTTGTGAGTCTGCCTTTTCATGATCGCTTTGCCGTCGCTGCGGGGTTCCTCTGGCTTATTGCTAACACTCACTTTTTAGATTATGATGTACGATGTAGGTTTTTCAACACTTTTGAAGAAGACACACGCGAACTGGCAGACTAAACTATGGCGATAACAGTGACAAGAGAAGACGTTAATACGTTGAAGGATGACTGGCTTACGGATAATGTATACTTTCACATGATTCCCTCTCCCCAAATAATTACTGACGGACTGTTTGACAGACAATCGCCTTCTGGCAGGAGTACGTGAATTCTGTTCCACCTTACGCAAATACGTGCCTACAAGAGCCACTACTAAATATTTCCTTCAAACAGATATCTCGAGAACGAATACCTCAAGCGATACCCCTCCTCCCACATCGTCCTACTTCGACCTTCCATGGCATATATGCTACGAATGCACGAAAACCCAGTCCTACTCAGGTCTGCTCTTCCAGACTTTCGTCTCACCACTCACATCTTCCTCCCCATAAACGATAATCGCAATGTTTCCCAAGCAGAAGGTGGATCTCACTGGACACTTCTCCTCGTATCCGTTATCGATGGTGTAGCATTCCATTATGATTCTCTCTCGCCCTCGAATTACGAAGAAGCAAATACGACGACTTACAAACTAGGTCAGTTATTGGGTCGTCAGTTGAAGTTTCTGAATCTGCAGGATACTCCCCAACAGCAGAATGGAAGTGATTGTGGGGTTTACGTGTGCATTATCATGCGCCATTTGTTGTTGAAGAGATTGCTGTGCGCAAACGCGAAGGAAAAGGTTTCTATGAGTATGGGAGGAAAATTGATAGATGCAAGTGGAGCGAGAAAGGAGATGCTGAAGATTATTGAGGGGTACAGGAAGGAGGGAGAGAGGCGGAGATCGTAAGTTCCCACCATCTTCAACATTTACAATACGTGGGTTGAGCGACCGAAATGAACCCCCCGCTAACAAAATTACAGACAAGACGAAAGTCGTAGCTCATCCCCTTACCAAAAGGGTAATCGAAGTCCTCCCCGAATCGATTCATGAGCTACGCATACATGAAAATGACTACAAGAAATCATCAGGCGTTACGGATTTATGACAGGGCTGCATTAGGACAATGAGCGAGATGAGCGATACAATACGAGGCACAAGAGATATGATTGCATGCTATTTCTTTTCTATACGATCACACGAGACGAGCTTTGCGTTCTGGCAAATAGGGATGAAGTGTGCGTTGGGAGTTAAGTTGCGAGCTTCACTAACGATGAATTCAGACTTGCATTGTGATTTTGGTGGCATGGGGGGCATGTAATGGTACGAATTGTATGAAGTGGCGAGACTTTTGCTAGGGTTAATGGTTGCTTAGGGGTGGCTTCTTTTTATCGAAGGAGAGATAGAGCCCAGGCTCGTTACTGAAATCAATGAAATTTGAGCATAACAATAAGTTTAACTTTGGGTGGTGAATGTCAGTTTTGGTATTCGTGCTGTTATCCTACTACCAAAGCAATATTGAAACGCTAAGTATATGTTTGAGCATGCGTGCCGTTGACTAGAACGACACCACGAGCAACCGAGATTTTGTTTTTACAATTTTGATATTTCCAACATCTTCGTCAACTTTGGTTCCTCTTTAACCCAGAAGCTTCTTCACCGTACTAGGAGGATTTCCACACTCTTCCAACAACTTTTTATGGCCCTCCATAGCCCCCTTACAAAACGCTTCTAAATCCATCTTCTCAGCTCCCTCCCATTTCCCATCCGCACCCCCATCAAAAACTTCCATACTAAACCATCCTCTGAATCCCGTTCCGAGCACCGCTCTCGCTACTTCTACTATAGGTAGATAACCCCCGTTATATGGATATGGTCTAAAATCATGACTCCATTTACCCCTCGCTCTCAGCTCTTCCTTTTCCTTTTCAGCAGGGGTGGTGGGGATAGGTACAGGCGGTTTATATGCGTCGGAGATTTGGAGGAGGTAAATTTTCTCGGGAGGAACGGTGGTAGTGAGGGATTGCAGAGATTGGGTGAAGTTCATGTGGAGTTTTGCTTGGGTTCCTAGATGCGAGATGAGTCCTGAAGAGGTGCTTGGGTCGCCGTATTCGCCGCCGGCGGTTTGGAAGGTGTCGAGACAGAGGCCGATGTTGGGGCGGTCAACTAGTTTGACGATTTCCCAGACGGAGGCCCAGGTGGGGGCGTGAGTTGCCCAGCACCTAGAGGCGAGCAGTGTCAGCTTGCGTCGATAAAGAATGGGATAGGATCACCAGTGAGTGCATGGATTGACGGGAGACTTCCCACCTTTTATTACTAATAAATCCATTCTTCAATTATTTGATATCAACACTTGATGATTTGATTGTTTTAGATCGAATGAATGATTGTAACAACGTCCAGGATATTTGATCCGATATATCAAGATATATTCACAAGTCCATTTATATAGTGTCCCGTCAATCCGTACACCCACTGGTGGATGGAAAAGGGAAAGAGAGGAAGAGGGGTTTCTCACCAATTCTCATAAGCAAGACGAAACTTATGTTCCGCGAGCAAATCACACAATTCCCTCAAATCATCCGCCAAAACATGAAAGTCTGACGAGATATCTGGCGAATCCGAACTTCCCACTTGCAACATATCGGTACCCACAGCCTCCATGATACGAATCCAACCCTTCGCCCGCTCAAAAGCATCTTTCCTTTCATTCGATCCCTTTAGCCATCCTTCGAAGTTCGAAAATGGTTGTAACATCATTATTCCCAAATTGTTCTTCTCGCATAGTTTTTTGACTTCGGTTCCAGCTGAACATAATGAATCGTAGTCATTTTCTTTGACTTCTTTTTTATGAAAGGTCGAAGCGAAGGAAAGGAGATCAGGAAAGCCAAGTTCAATGGCTGTGAAGCCTGCGGAAGAGATTGCAGAAAGTTTAGAAGAAAGAGGGGTTGAAGATGTGCCAACAGAGACACTGGCGAATGACGCTGGGATTTGATTGAGAGATTCGGGAGAGATGGTCATGGTGAAAAATTGATTTGTTTATTTGTTTAGAGGAGTTGTGAATCCCAATTGAGCTTGTAAATTATGGATGGGAGTCAAAACACTGAAGGTGTTGATTGCTTTTTATATAGGAAGTGACGTCAGGAAAGTGGTGGGGCAGTTGTTTCACGTGATTATTTATCATAGAAAAGAGTTTCGGAATCATTCGGGAAAGCACTGTTGTTCCCCTGTGTCAGACGTTTCGCAGGATCTGGAGCTTGGTGCTGGTGGAGAAGATTGTATGTTTGCCAATGTTTGGGTGACATCGGCAGTATCATCGGCCGGCTGCAACGTGCATATACGCGATTCATGATATACCGAATCCTCTCATCCACTCGAATGATACATGTTACTCCGCCAAGTTGCATGAAGTGTATCTGTGGGTATTCTTTCATGTGAAAAAAACAGGCTTTTAGGTCCATCGAATGTAGATTGATAAAGGGTAAAATAATAACACGTACCATACTTGTGGTAATTGGGTATCTCAAAACAGAAAATATGTCCATGTCCGGTGGAAAAAGTGAAACAATCAAGGCTTTTTGAACTCCTCCTTCTGCTCCATGGTTTGTGAAATGAATCCTCTCAATGCGGCCCATCTACTCGCAGTCCCTGAAGCAGCTGGCACTTCTTGACCCTCTGCAGCAGTGATGTCTTTTGGTTTCTCCTCCGTAACTCCAGCCAATTGTGCCATGTTCTTTCCAAATCTCTCCCTCTCCATAGCCTCCAACTTCTCCCTCTTCTTCGTTGCTCCAGGTCGACTCTTCATACTCTTTTGCTTGATCTTTCCACTCTCTCCTCTGCTAATCTTCTCTAAGCCTTCTCCCTCAAAATCTGGTAGTGCATCTGCCAGACTTTCTAATGTGGTAACCAATTTCTTGTTTGGACGTCTGCGCTTCAGAGGTTTTGAATTCCCTTTTTCGATACGGTTGACAAAGGCGGAATGTTTAATCGTTCGCTTGTCCTTCTTGGACTCGATGAATGAATCTGATATAACGGCACCTTCGCGATGCACAGGTGGAACGTGAATACCTGAGCCTGCTTGAGAAGCCTTCGCGCGCATAGAATTTCGCTTTTTGGGTGCAGTGGGCGCCTGTGAGGATAGTTAGTTTTGCGACTCTAATCAGGAAAGATAAGTATTCTTCCAGACGTACCATGATCGCGAATTGATTATCTCTTGAAATCTAAAGTGTCACAAGAAAAATTGCTTGAAAATTGGCGAAAATTGTCAGTGAGAGCTTTGGAGGTAAAAATGTTCACTGGTGCATTGAAAGCTCCAAGGTCTAGGTTAACTTAGCGAATAAAAAAAGTTGTCCGAACTATTTTTATGAAGCGACTTTCATAATTTACCTACTCACCTACGCTATAAAAATCACAACCACAGGAAACCAATATGAATTCTGCTGAGGAAAAGGCAAGTGCTTTACGGTGCCAAATAGCTGATGCCGAGACCCAACTTGCTTCCCTAAAACTACAATTATTGAGTATCGAAGGAAAAGATGTCAACTCAAAGGATCCTGGAGTTACAGAAGAAGAAGAAGGTCTCGTGACTCATGACGAAAGCAAATGGCCCATGAGTTTGGAAGAATACAAACGATATGGAAGACAGATGATTGTGCCTGATATTGGTATTCAGGGTTAGTTGTTAGATCTCTGGACCAAAAAATTAATTTTGAATACTTTACTGATCATGATTTAGGACAATTACGACTTAGATCAGCTTCTGTTCTCCTAGTAGGAGCTGGAGGTTTGGGATGTCCGGCTGCTGCATATATCGCCGGTGCTGGAGTTGGCACTGTTGGAATTGTCGATGGAGATACTGTAGAAGAGTCGAATTTACATCGACAAATATTGCATAGTACAGACCGAGTAGGTGTTAATAAAGCTGTCAGTATTGCTAAATATATATCTGGGTATGGATCCTCCCCAAAAATCCTGGCGAGCATACATACTAACAGCTTTTTAGCTTGAATCCAAATGTAAAGACAAATATCTACGAAACACATCTTACGCCCCAAAACGCACAGAATATAGTCAAAGACTATGATTTAGTTCTCGACTGTACTGACCACCCCACATCCCGTTATCTCATCTCAGATATATGTGTTCTTCTCCAAAAGCCACTCGTTTCAGCCTCAGCTCTCCGAACAGATGGCCAGTTAATAGTTTTGAACAATCCTGCCTTACCTCCTGGTGATCCATTAGGTGGTCCATGTTACCGCTGTGTCTTTCCCACACCACCTCCACCCGAAGCGGTGACGAGTTGTGGCGATGGAGGAATTATCGGTCCCGTTGTAGGTGTAATGGGAGTTTTACAAGCTTTGGAAGCTATTAAACTTATTGCATCTGGAAGATTGGCCGCCGTTGGGGAAAATAACGAGACAAGCTCTACCCCCAAGACGAATCCTACTACAATGTTGTTATTCTCTACAAATGGAATGTCGCCATTCAGAAATGTCCGTTTGAAGGGTAGAAGATCAAATTGTTTCGCTTGCGGAGAGGAACCTCAGTTGTCTCTTGAGCAGCTGAAATCTGGTTCAATGGATTACGTCTTGTTTTGCGGCATGGCGCATCCTGTCAAGTTATTGAGTGACGAAGAGAGGGTTGAGGCAAAAGATTACGAAGAATCGATAAGAAGGAAGGAAAAAGATCATTTGTTAATCGATGTCCGAGAGAAGGTGCAGTTTGATATCTGTAATATTGAAGGATCACACAATATACCTTTCTCATCATTTCAAGGCAACGGAATCAACAAAGATCGCCCACTATCGACGCTCACCGATGGTCTGAGCCCAAAAACTCCTATATATGTCGTTTGTAGGCTTGGGAACGATTCTCAAGTAGTCACAAAAAAGATGAAAGAAATGGGATTGGATCTCAAAGGCGACAGATATATTGGTGATATCAAGGGAGGTTTGCGATCTTGGAAAGAACAGGTAGATAGCTCTTGGCCCGAATACTAGACTCTAGTGTCAAAATCAAGACGTTGAATATTCAAAGGAGCGAGATTGATATTTGAGTTGGTATTGTGTGCCAAAAGTGCATAATGTGAAGCACCATAAGGAGTGGTTCCATGAACGCCAAAATCGTACAACTGCTTGCTAAGTTGATGTTCTTGCTTGCCATAAAAAACGATAATCATTACAACCCGCCATTCCTTCCACCATTTTCCCTATGCGTTCCTAGTTAGGTTGGGTTTTACACGTATGTTTGTCGTTTCCTGTTGAAAGCTCTTTGATCCTTCAACCATTGCCTGTAACCGGCTACACTTGAGATTTTCTCGCCGTAATAATCTAAACAGATCAATTAGCAGTATTCTTTTATCGTTCAATTTCCCCTTCACATGAACCTCAAATCAAACGTACCAGGCACAGGATTCGCCATTGAACTCGCACTAGGATCCACCCTATACTTCTTAACCCTCGCATAAAACTCCTTCTCCTTAATATCCATCTGCTGTCTAAATTTCCTGTTCTTCACATTGAACGCCGCAGTCCCCAAAATTGGTCCGGTCAACCATCCAGCTCCTCCACATGCGAATGTTACTAATCCCAATGTAATGAATGGATCCAATGGAATTTGTCCCACCAGTGCATCCATATCCGTATGTGTAAGAATCTGCGCACCAATTGCGAAACCACCAAATCCCGTGCCGATGGAAGAACCGAGTTGGAACCAGCGACGAGTTCGACGGAGCTTGAAGAATGTATTCCAATCTAGAACTTCTGTTTGCGCAGCGCTGGACTTTGAGGTTTTGGTTGCTGAGGAAGATGTAGTTGTGGATGCAGAACGAGTAGAAGAGGTACCGGATTGGAATTTGACATTGCGTTTATAGTTGGGAACCAGAACTCGACGTCGCGAGCTTGGGGTTTGAGGATCTGAAGTGCGAGGAGGGGTAGTTGATGCTGTTTGATAGGTACATGATGTGAGGAACGATGGCTGTATGCGGCAGCTAGCTGCTGCTGTTCTTAATGTTGGCGCTGAATACAGCATTGTGATAGAGAGAGAGGTAATTGCAATATCTGGTGAGTTTTTGTGGTGATGACGAAAATTGAAAGCTTTCTTGAGAGCTTGTTTGTTGATCCTGGTATTTTGATATCGATGGTTGGGTTCAAACCGGTTATTATTTTTCTTAGGGCGGCGGTACTATTTATGAGTTTTGAGCTAGCGCAGCAAGAGCTCGAAAAGACAATGATTCATTTTAGTGACTAGAGTTCGTAGAGAAAAAATATAAAGTAAACAGACTAGGTAAAGTCATTAAAAAGTCGATAATAAAAAGTAAATTATTTTTATTACGTTTTTAGATATAAAGAACGATTCTTTCAAATTACTACTCGAATTATTTAGATTAAGTATTACTCTTTCGATTTCAGAGTCTTTTAAACAACTGATTATTAACTTAATTTTTATTATTAAATGAAAGTAACTAAAGTTTTATTAGATAATAAATAATAATAATATAAAGTAAAAACTATTATCGAAAATTTATTTCTAAAGATAATATTTTTAAAAAAGTAATATTTTAATAATTTCGAATTAATATCTTAACTATAGAAATCTTTTATAAAGAAATATTATATATTAAAGACTAATTAACTTATTAAATTACTAATAAGAATTTCTTTATTAATAAAATTCCTCATCTTAAAGGATTTCTAAAATAATTATTAACTCTTTCTTAATTTTTTCTTTATCAAAATCTAAAGATTCTAATAAATATACTTTTTAAGTTTCATTTTTGTTTCTTAATAAAAGTTAAAGATTAATCTAAATTTAGTAGAGTGAAAGATTCGCGTCTTTATTAATCTTAGATTAAGTTAATCTGATCTCTAAAACAATCTCAACTTCAATTTTCTTCAACACAATTTCGATTTATTTAACGGAATCAATTTCCCTACGGGGAGAGAAGAGTCTCCTTTAATAATAACTTGTTCAATCTGTTCATTTGACTTCTCAATGTCTTCCGAAAATAATTCAGACTTCACCGGGGAAGATACGTGTTTACCAAGATCAAAATTGGCCTTCGATTTCAGAGTAGTCGAAAGACCGATTTATAAACCAAATAGCGGTCCACCGCTTCAATCAATTTCACTCATTCCTCCTCACGAATTAAAAGGAATTATTCTTGATTGTTTTCCATACCCGAAGCCAAACGACCCTAGCCACTTCCTAGTAGGCTATGAACGGGAGCCACATAATCGCATTATTATACACCCAAATAATATACGCAATTATGTATCAGAGTATACTTTGGAAAATTGGGAGCATGAACGGAGCACCGCAGAAGAGAATCGTCTTATTAAAGAACTTCAACCTCGTTTGATAGCATCAGAAAAAGCAAGAGTGTTGCGAGAATTGAAAAAAGCCGGAAAATCACGTGATGATCTCAGGGAGGAGGATGCCGAACAGTATCAGGCTTTGGGAATGCCGAAGAAGAGGGGCAGGCCTAAGTCTATGGCAAGTGTTTTCAAGCCAGCACCCAAGCCAGTATCTGATCAACCAAGTGGGAAGCGTGGACCTGGAAGACCTCGGAAAGTGGTGTCAGTTCAAGTTGTTTCGCCTACCATCTCTCACCCTCATCGGCCTTCTTTGTCTCAGCCATCCTTATCTCAGCCATCTCTATCTCAATCATTTGCTAAAGCACCAAGAGCAATGCTGGAGCATACAATTGCCGACTCGGCAAGCGAAGAGGAAGATGAAGATACCGATTTAGCGCTTGATGATCAGCACAACCAAGGGGCAACCCATATATCCAACACCGCTATGAATTCGTCTACTATCCTGAGAGTTACAAGTCCGGCAACGGAGCGTTCTAGTCAAGGTCAAGTGAATAAGACCCCTATTCAGTCACCACAGAAGTACAAATCCTTCAAGATGTCACCTCACGATCGTCCCAAGAAAGCTGCAATTCTTCCTGGCATGAGTGTAGACGCATACCCATACGACAATTTGAAAGCCAATGCTAGCAATAATAAAAAGAGCATAAAGCTCGACAAAGGTTCAAGCACCCAGAACCAATCTCCAGCAAGCCTTCAGTTACCCCTTCTATCAAGTGGCGAACAGTCCACTGGTCGTACATTTCAAGGCACAAGTCAGAAACCTCAATCTAAAATTGTCGATTACTTCAAGGATTCTGGTACTAAAATCCCTGCTTCGAAGACGCTTGATGTGAACCGAAATTACGAGCCTTCGTCTAGTTTGAAGCGCAAATCTTCTCCATTTATAGGACGAGAAGGCGAGTCAAGTGGAAAGTCCCGAAGTAAAACTCGAAGACTTGGAAAAGGCTCCGACGATTATTATGATGCCGAATACAAGGGAGCTTCGAAGAAGAGGTCTGGGTCACCAACCATTGAGAATTGTGAAACAAGCTTCGAGCCAAGATCAAGTGCACGGCGTGGAAGCGATGCTCTCAATCTTCGTAGCTCTAGAAGTAGAAGTCGACGACTTGAATCTTCTCCTGGTAATAGGATGGAGCTCGAGGATGAGAATGAGGATGCGATTGAAGATATGGATGAAGATGAAGACGAGCAGAAAGACTCGCAAGAAGCTTTTGGCGGCAAACCGCCAACATGGGATATAAAATCAATCTTGGATCACAAGTACGAATGGAATGACGGTGACAACAAGCAAGAACTGTGGTATCTTGTTGATTGGAAGGGAGATTGGAACCCGACATGGGAGCCTGCCAATGGCATCTCGGAAGGGGCCGTTGATGACTACATCGCTTCGAGGCAAGCTCAAGGACTTGGCAATCTCTCTGTTTCAATTGACGCGATAGATATAGGGGGAAATGGTAATTCGTTATCACGAGGCGATGATCTAGAATGCAGTATTGAGGACGACGAGTACTCGTAGTCTTTGTTCCAGGGAAGAAGTCTGAACTCTAGGTTTTGAAGGAGAAGAAATGGCACATTAAACATAGAGCAACGAGACAAAATTTTGGAGATAAAGTTGGGGGTGTGGATAACATTGTATCTGGCATCGGTGGATTATTAGGAAAATCATAATGGGAGGCGTCTGAGGCTATGTTTGGTAGATTTGAGGCACATTTGGCCATTATTCGCAAAATGACTCGAAGTCTTAGGTAGGCAACGAGAATGGTGATTCTCATAATTATTACAGATACCCAATAGCATACCACATTAGCAGTTTTCCCGAGATTTTGCAGAGGTATTCGTGCAGGGTGTTTTTGAGGTCTAGTCTATGCATGAAATACCAGGAAGAGCAAGTGCTACCGGGATTTATGACAATTAGGCAATTGATCGCTAATATGGGTGTACCCGCCTCTGACCCCCACGCGTAGCTCGCATTATCGACGTTGAGGATTGGGGACTCGGGCTCAAGATATATAAATGATCACAGCTGTACTATCTGCATTTGCTTGAAATTAGATACTTCCCTTCCTTGCTTCTAAACTTATCTTCCAATCTTGTTATCTGAACGCCATTTCTACGTTCATATGCTTTATATAGGCATACTGGGCCGATTACCAGATTTGTTCATTTAGATAAGCAAGCTAATATAAAACGTTGCGAATTTATTCCTGTCCAGTTCAGAAAATGGCATCTACAAAAGTGGATCTCGCCTCTCCCGAACCCTACATCACTCCCGCCGAGATCTACAGCGGTGCCTCATTCAACATCGGCGGCAATCCCAGCCCAGATAATTCTTCATCGACCCCACCAATAACTCTCCGTATAGCAACCGGAGGAGCTGGTCAATCGGGGCTTATCCGTGCTCTAGCCAATAAGTTTATCGAGTTCGAGATAGACAAAACAGGTTGTCCACGATTCAGCATTGCATGGTTATTATCAGATACGTCTGCAAGTTTCAACTATTTGGGAAGTAGAGCGGCGGATTGTAGCATCACTTATCATAAGATTGCAGAGGAGATAGCTTTAAAGCAGGGAATTGCAGAGAGGAGGGAGTATGCTTGGAGAGATCATTGGCTGCTTGTTGGTAGGTTGTTTGCTTAGCATGTGTGGCTATAATGTTTGCTGTCTCGTCTGGATGACCATATCCAAGCTTCATTTGAAATGACCCATCCTGTTCTGATGATTTCTAGGACCGAAGAAAAACCCTGCCGGGCTTCCGCTGGATAGTACAGACGACTCTACAATATTTGATCTATTCGGTCAGTTGTTTATGGCTTGTGTAGAGAATCCAAACATTAGATTCTTATCCCGATATGATAAATCAGCCGCCAATATCAAAGAATCTTCTATTTGGACAGCTATCGGTCAAACTCCGTGGGCACATCCATATTCAAGTTGGTATCATCGCTACATAGAGTTTCCGTTTGCTGCTTTGAGAGCTGCATGTGCGCTAGGCGAGTACACAATTACGGATAAGGGTACATGGTTGAGTATTGAAGAAGAAATTAGAGATAAGATGAGTATTTTTGTATGCTATGGTTCCATCTCCAAGATGTGTGTTGAGCTAATGTATTGTGTAGAAAGCGAGCACAGATGCCCCAGATGATCCATTATTGAATCCTGCACATATATTAGTAGGCACGAGAGGAAAAAACATAGTCATGGCTCATAAATTTGCAGATTGGATGATAGCAAGGGACGGTGGACAGAAGGTCATCGAGGAGTTTGAAGTGAACGGTGCTATCTTGTACACTGGTGCACCAAACTCTTAAAAAGGCAAATATAGTGAATCAAAATTCTCCATAAGTTCCTTCATTCAAACCATCTGAACAATTAAAGCATTCAGAAAACTTAAAGTTTTGGCTGAAAGTTTAAAATATTTGGAGGGATTGGAATTTTGGAGACAGCGAGTGCATCGCCAAGTATAATTTTATCAAAAATTTGGAGATTTGCCATGGAGTTATTTCTACATGATGTATCGCGTGGATCACGTCTAGTATTGTCATTCACTCGTTCTAAGAAAAGTATCCTCTTTCTTCAGTGTCACAAGTTGGATAAGAGGGGCTAATATTGCAAAATTGATATTTTGAAACACTCAATCTGAATGAATATAGTTAAATCAATAAAGATTTTGCTAGCAAGCCTTGGTTCTTCCACAATCACGAGCTTCTGGATGTTATGGGAATTAGCACAATCGCATATACCCCTTAGAACGTCAGTGAGTTGAAATTTGATTCTTTCTCGTCAATTCTACCATCTGACTTCTCCATAGCATAGAAGTCCCTCACAATTTCACAATCATGGACGCTCAAGGCAACGAAGAGGAGCAGAATCGACGCTTTGAAGTACTCTCCACTAGTACAATCGCGCACGATAGAAGGGGATCAGCAAAAGTCGGAAAACTTCCATTCGTCAAGACTATCACCAAACAAGCAATCACTCCAAGACGGTCATCTGCTGGCGCACTTGACACCTTTCCACTTGAGATACAACAAGAAATATGCAAGAAACTCGATTTCGAAAGCATAATAACATTTAGTAAAACAAGCTACGCCGCTAAGATCATCGTCGACTCTGTTTTTTCATTTACAGAAATCACGTCAAAAGCCCCTCGCTTGTTGAAGGCTATCGCTGAACTAAAATTATTGCATGTCCACTCGTTAGCAACCATAACTCATGTATTGAGCCTATCGTCTTGCGATTTCTGTCCAAATTACGGTTCTTATTTTTTCCCCTTGACTGGTAGTCGGTGCTGTTTCTTCTGCTTGTCTACTGAATCAGAGTTTTCTCTCATACGCAAAACTCAGGCAATTGAATTCTTCGGTTCATCTTCCATCAAAGACCTGCCATCTGTATTCGCGAGGATGTTTTGTCTCCCAATTCCTCTAACTAGAATGTCAGAGGTAGTCGAATGTTTTAGCGCCCAGAAAGTCGTCGATATGTGCAGCAGAAGAAGATATGATACAAGACAGTAACATACTGCTTCCGGGGATCAATTCGAACCTTCCCAACACCGCCGAAATTGGGGACCAGATCATCGTTCTCAGCCCACTTATGCAGTAGCCGTCAGGATCCCATTGCTAAAAGATTCAGAATCGCCACGTTGCATGGGAGGGTACTATTGTACACCATGTGCTATGTCTTGGACAAAATGGGAAAACACCGATCAGCATAGGTTTTGGCAAATACGCGTGATGAGCCCACATTTTGAAGACGGTTCAGCAAGAAAGATTGTAGATCATACGTTGAATCTCCCAGTTAGAACGATAGATGAGCACTTTAAGCATATCGAAACTTGTGCGAATGCTCGGGCATTTCTATGGAAGAGGCGAGGCTACATTTCAGGAAAGAAATGAGTTTCGAGTTTGAGCAATACCATTATGTCATTTCTTCTCGATCATCTCATCTTATCTCAATGTTTCGGCAACAGGCAGGTTTTAGTCTATGTTGATCGATAGCGGAAGAATGTATAATATTGTCACAACTTCGAATTCATTCAGCATCGCAATGGGCGCTACTATCTAGCTGAGCAGAAACTGTTCAATTTGGTTTTCTCCAAAGTCCCTTCTCCTTCCACCGAACGATTCAATCTCCCAAATACAAATCATCAAATTCTACACTGACGGGATCTTACCATGTTCTTATACGATGCAGTCGAACTCTCCTCGGTGATTGAGTAGGGAGCATGTGATACCCGAGTTTTCAGTTATCATAATACGAACAGAGTTCGCTTTTGGGGGGGGGGGGGGGGGGGGCTAGACAAATTGCGATGGGATTTCAGAAGAGGTAATACACAAAATGAGCTTTTGCAGTATATGCTGGCATACATTCATCCAAGTTGCTATGGCATTTGGATTAAAAGCTCTTTTTTTCAGAAGGTATGAATTTATTAGAAAGTCAGTGGGGGTATTTGATAGCACTGGATGTTCTCTCCACTTCGATTGTACTATAAAGAGAAATATGTTGAGCATCAAAAAGAGAAACTGTATCAAATCTATTTTTGGATTATAGCTTCTGTGACTTCAACGCCGCGTCTATGCGTCTAATGCATGATGGATGAAGGATCTCTAGCTCTAGCTGTTGCTTGTTATGATACTCCCCAAGAGAACATAGCCACCTATGGAAGCAATTTGCTGGTGAGATATGAAGTGTGGATCTTTTATTAATTTTCCACACATTCTGGATATCTATGCATGAGAAAGATTACAAACATACGCAGTCAAACGATGAGCTAATAGTTTATAATTACGTTCCATGTAAGTCTGAATTATAATCAATAATTAGCCATGCTCACTTATCATTACTAAAGTCTAGTTTTGGACAAAAAGCTACAAGCTGATGACATATATTGATAAGTAAGTAGAAAGAGCAAGTGTTAAATATAAATCCCCAGCCCTCCCTAACTACTCTCGACTAATAAACCATGTTCCTATATACCGGCTGCTTACTGACCGCCATCAACCTCGTTTCCCCTTCCCAGCCAGTCGACCACGCAACAAACTCTTTCTTTAATCTCGTTCCCATCCACCAAGCCACCTCGGATAGTAAGACTAGATCTCCAGTAGTCGCATTTTCCATCCCATTCCATTTCCCTTCGCCAAGCAAACATCCGAAAGTAGCTCCGAAACGGTCTTCTCGTCTGAAAGACAGCCTCATCTCCTAACACACTATATTCAACCGATTAATCCCAAGCAACAGCTTCCTGAAACGAACACCAGTGATATAATCTGCGTCTCGCCAGCCAAGCCAACACTAGCGCACTTGCACCACGACAATTTTCGCCATCTCTGTAATCAAAATTTCTCAATGCCAACCTTGAAAAATCTCCTCAAGTACCTGCACGAAACGCGATATTATCTTCCTGTCTAAACTGATGATTTCGATTGACGGAATCAATAACCGGTGCCACAATGTCTGGTCTTACTTTAATTAATACCTCGGCGCCAGCTTTCTGAAAAGCAGGTCTTTCTTGAAATCCCATCTCGCTAGGCAATTTACTTGCGGCTTTTGCTTGTCTGCGTTCGGATCGCGAATAGTTTGTCAATTCAGCTGTGTCGCGGAGGTCAAATCTGCCGCAATTCGTATCTAAATCCGAATTCTGCTCTCTGTTCATGGCCCGAATTGCCATTCCATTGTCTCGACAAGTTCATGGATAGTACTTGGAATCTCATCATTGCGGGGTGACATACTGAAATTCGAGAGTCGAGGTTCCCTTTCCTGAGCCCTCATCTTGCACACATAAAATTCATACTTCACAGCTCGTTTACTTTTGTAAAATGCCATCAACGACATATCCTGACTATGTGTATTCTCAATATCAAAATTCGGACGTGTGGCTCCGTATTTGCGTTGAGAAAACGCATATGCGACAGCACGACGATGAGCCAGGTTATTCGGATCGATCACCATCCACACTACCTCGCCCTGGTGATCCCGCTTGACTAGTGCGCGGACTTGAGCTTGGTCAATAGTCTAGACTAGAAGACTGAATGTAAATTTTGAGATTCTGAGAGTAGTTCAATATTAGAAATAGATTTATTAGATCCGGAAAGCATATGCCTTAAATTTTCAGACTGCAGTCCAGATTATTGAGATTCCTGACCATACCATATTCTACCCTACATTAAACTCGACCTCCCGCCAACCTCTGTTCCCCCTTGTCCATTCGGCATATCCCCACTTCTTCCCACAACAAACTCCCTATATATTCCCTGTAACCTCCTTCGCTCGTCAGCACTAATACTTGGTCTTGTACCCTCCAAACTCTTTACTAGATGTTTCCAGAGAATGGTGACTTCTTGTTGACTCTTAACTTCCTTCTGTTCTCCTCTGTCTTCGCTCGAAACATCAATACCCTTGGCTCTCAGTTTCTCCTTCTTCTTTGCCTTTTTGATCTCTTCCAACTTGGCGGTAATTGCAGCTTTCTCAGCAAGTTGTTTGGAGCGATTATTACCAGCTTTTGCGCGAGTCTCGGCTTCCGTCCGATCCTCATCTTCACCATAGCGGAACTGCACAAAGCTTCGAGGTCCGCTGGATGCTCCATTTGTCTTAGCACCATTACGTTTTCCTCCAACTTCAACTGGTTCATGGTCACCAAGTACATCGTGAATGGCTTCAAGTTGCGCATTGGATATCAAAGCCTGAAGATCTGCACCAGAGTAGCCTTCAGTCCTACGAGCAATCTCAAACAGCCCTCCTTCAGGGCTGTCTCGGACTTCTTCGGATAACTTCAGCTTTTTGCCTAGTGCCTTAAGAATATCAAAACGATCATCCACATTTGGAAGATCACATATAAGGGACTTGTCCAAGCGACCCGGACGGAGTAATGCCGGATCAATTAGATCAGGTCTCGAAGTAGCTGCAAGTACATAAACTCCGGATAAACCTTCGGCACCATCCATTTGTGTCAACAATTGATTGACTACTCGATCAGTCACACCAGTAGAATCATGACCACGCTTAGGGGCTATAGAATCGAACTCGTCGAAGAATAGTACACAAGGTCTAGCAGCTTCAGCTCGCTCGAAGAGATCGCGAACAGACTTTTCAGAAGCACCGATGTATTTGTTGAGAATTTCGGGTCCCTTGACACTGATGAAATTCAAACCACATTCTCCTGCGACTGCACTTGCAAGGAGAGTTTTACCACAACCTGGGAATCCATACAAGAGTAGACCTGATCGCAATCGCAGTGGACATTGTGCAAAAATTGGCGCATAAGTAGTAGGGTACTGCAATGTCTCAAGTAGAATTTTCCGGGTCTCCTGCAATCCTCCGATCGAGTCGAAGGTGGTAGTGGAAGTCTGAAGGGTGACATTTCGAAGCGACGCCGGAGTAAATCCTTTCAAAGCACTGTCAAAATCTTCTCTTGTGAGTCGAATAGAACCACTATCGGCGTTTTGCAAGGAGCTTGAGACTGTCCGAATCATTGCTTCGCTCCTAGCTCGTGCTACGAGAAGGACGAGGTCTCCAGGCATGTAACCATCAGTTTGACCAGCTAGGTCTAAGAAATCAAGATCTTGATCAATAACATAACCATCGCCTTCCGATTTCTTGGTACCTTCCGTACTCGAACCACCCACCCAATCAGCACCGTTGTATCTCTCGCTATTATCTGCTGTGCTTGGGCGGCTACCAGATGCCACTGATTTTGTCGTAATTTCCGAGATGGCATTTTCCATAGCAACCTTTTCCATAACTCTTCTTCGCCCTTCTTTGTTTGGAGCTTTCAAGGCGACAATCTCTCGCACGCAATGACAACCGATGATATTTTTATGAAGTGACTCTTTCGCTTGAGCGGTGGCAAGTAAAACAACGTTACTGCGATGCCCAATCAAGTATTCTCTAGCAATTGCAATTATCTTCTCGCTAATTAAATCACTTCGGAGGTTGTCATTGCCTACTTCAAGCTCTGTTTCTGCGGGACACAATTTGTCAAGATCATCCAATATCACAATAGACTTTCCACCGATTCTTGCACCCCATGAGGCAGCCAAAAAAATCCGGTCAAATGTTTCGCGTATGGTTGAGACACGTGCCTCATCAGTAACGAATTTTCGACACGAAAGATATGTGGTATGATACCTGCCATCTTGCCGTAATCGATGTGCCAAGTGCTGAACTACTGCTGTTTTGCCAGACCCCAAAGCACCAGTGAGTAATACGGAAGACAAGTGCGAAAGGTGTGAGTGTAGTTGTTCTATGAGGTTATCAATTCCCACAAGAACAGGAGCTTTTGCACCAAGACCATCGATCGCATTTGCTGCAAGGGTTAAGGGTCTTGGAATAGCGGGTTGAACCTCAAGATTGAATTTCTTTTCCGAACCAAGAAACCAACTACAAGACTGCTTTGCGGACTCTTGTGGTCCTTGCTCCAGACGAATCATTCCGCCTTCCCAACTTGATGGGAAGTCAGAACCTGATGGCTTGCCGAGTACCAAGCCATCAGTCAATGGTCCTTCAAAAATGCCACTATTAGAACCATTCTTGCTGTACATTTTCATGATTGATTTTGCAGCTTCTTCCCGCTCAGCTTTCGATTCCCCACCAAATTTGAGACCTTCACTCGCTTTTCCCGTGCTAGATGTATAGGGAAATATCTTGATGTGTGGAGTACCGGATTTAGAAGTGGGCTGAAAAGTTGGCTTTGAAGCTTGGGATGGGGCAGGCGCAACCCTTATCACACCTCCAACCATATTTTTACACCCCATGGAGGCGCAAAGTGAACTCGATAACGCCACATGGTATTGGTCTGGTGGTTCATCCCATGTCATCAATCTAGCTACTACCTTCGATGCAGGCTTCCCGGCACCACCGGTATTCTCATCTTCTTGTTGTTGTCGTTGTGGGTCGATTGGCTCTTGTAGAGTAGCAGGCTTGACAACGGTAACGGTGACCCAAGTGAGCCCTTTTAAGGAGTCACCGAGAATGAAGTCGCCATCAACCCAAATTTTCAATCCTCCATCATCTGCATCTTTCTCTTCTTCAAACCACTCCCCACAAAGTGCTCTGTCAATTCCTCTATAATACATAGCCGGCTTCGTTTCTTCACTTCGTCCACTTTTCCGACGTACCGCACTAGAAACACTTCGTCCGCCAACACTCTTCCTTGAAGATACACTCATATTTTCGCCCGTACTTCGTGATGGTTTCGATCTTGTTTTCGGGGCCACAATAACTTCTGCATCTGGTGCTAGCTTCGTGAACGCAATATTTGAAGGCGGAGCAGGAAGGAGAGACGTGACTATAATATTGGCAGTCGAGGTCGGTGAAAGGTGTAACGTAAGAGGATGCGGCAGTTGTGATGAACCACTCGGTGAAGTAAAGCTTGGATTTGGTAATGCGCGAATTTGATTGATGAAATTGAGCTCAAGAAAATTAGCATGCAATTCTATAATCTCCCAATCTTCTGGCGTCAAAGGTTCAATATTGATGGTATGGGCGACTGGAGGATCGACGTGTATAGTCGCTGTAATTTTCTGTCCATCTGATATTCCCAATGTTCGCGCAAAGGTTGCGTCTATCTCTACAACCTGGACTTCTTGCTCCCTACCCGATCCCCTCGTGCCACTTATCCCATCCCTCCCAACAATTGGTGCAAGCTTGCGCTTGCTTTGCATACCCGTCCATCCCACGAAGATGGATCGTTGAGTCGGGGCGCCATTCGTTTGATTTAGGCTCTGCGGAGGTGGAAGTCGGTAGTTCAATTCTACAATCACATTTTGTGCAAGCTATGGAGTGTGAGTGTGTGATTATGAGGTAGATAGATTCGTTGCGACTTACAGCATTGATATTAACTAGTAATGAAGATAATGATGAAGGCAGGTTAACCAAGCAATTCTTTAGATGAATTAATGATATCTCTGCAGGTGTAGCTTGACTACCACGTCCTTTTAAGTTTGAGGCCATAATTAAATGTATTACAATACAAATCAATATACCATATTGAGGGAGAAAAAGATAGAAAGGAGAGAGATTCCCAAAAGATGAAATGCCTTGAGCATTTCAACTGACCGTCACAAGTTCACCTCGGTATATCATTTCTGGAGCGCATACCCACCCGTACCTGAGAGCTGCAAATGCGGTTCCGCTTATTCATGGCATACAGTACAGTACCACTTGACATTTAACCCTTTCCAAAATAAACTCAAAATCAAAAATATATTATTTTGCGGTTGAAATGACTGTCAATTTTTGATTTCGTATTTTAGGATTTACCTTTCCAATTTGACTGATTTTAAATCATTCAGTTGATTTTAGATGTCAATTTTTTGTATATTTTGAACGATGTAACCATGATTAGGCGGAGCTGCGTGCCACAAATAGCTTGATTAGACACGAAAATTCACGAACCGTTGACAGGGGGATTGAACTTTACTATCAGCGCGTGAATTTCAATTTAGAGATTTGACTGAGAGATTCCTCAATTCAACCTCATAAGCCTTTGCGCCGTCAGCCCCTCCATACTAATCTCTCTATTACGGTCTTTCATTACTTGCGCAAAGTCTTGAATCTTTGATTAAATTCTAAGTGTATCAAGGGGCTCTGAGCAAGATGGCGCTGCTTCAATACAAAGCTCCCGTCAACTATGAAGCTCATCAAGGTATGGAGTTTTCAATTACTGAGAAT